GCAGTGGCTGCCAATATCTTCATGATGCTGGGATTTAACCCCTTCAGATATTATTTCTAATCAACCAACATCATGAATCTGTTTTCCCAGTTATCTGAAAGTAACTACCTGAGTATTATGTAAGATTTTGCTTCTGGAAGGACAAGTGCTGAGCACAGAAAACTCACTCAATCCTGTTTTCCAGTGTAAGTTACTTTGCTACATGTTACCCTATAGTGTGAAAGACAGAAAAAGTTACTGTAACTATAAGTCAGTCTCCCATTTAACCCAGTCCCCCTAGTGTTTCAAATGCCTACCAAGAAAGCTCAGGATAAGTATTTTGAAACTCAATTAAAACAACAGCAGTGAAAGCACAAGCAAGTTTCCAAGGGAACATTAACCTGTGGTGTCAAGTCATTTTAATAAGTGACTGGCTGTTCTTTACTAAAAGGATGTCGCTGCCCAGCATAAGCTGATGCTTACTTCTGGAATGAAAGGAGAATGTGCCACTACTTTATCCCAGAGCTTTACCAAAGAAACATTTGCAGTCTGAGAACTGCTTTCATGACCCTGAAAAAACACACACTGAGGGTGATAGAGGCAGAAGGCATCAGGGCCATTCTGACAGTGACTGTGAGTAAGTGCATATAACCTTGGGGTATTCCAAAGCCAGAGAGCACACAAATTAAGCTCAACAGATGTGGATCTTGTGTTAGGAGCTGGGCTGGTAATTCCAGTGGTTCTTTTTATAGTCAGCATGTTACTCACTAAGCCACCAGGTAATTTTCCTCTTAAAACTTTACACTCACTTGGTTCTAAAGCAGTCCCATTCAGACACACAAATGTGACGGTTAACTTTCTTTTAAATCTAAAATTCCGCTTTGACATCCACTCTTTTCTCACCATCTCTGGCAATGTTACAAAGACTCAATTCCTTTAAACTGACAGAAAAGATTCTCTGTAGCAAACAGAATCATTTGACTTCCAGAAATCAAGAAACACTGCTGTCCACACACACTTACTCCTCTGGATGGAGTCTTTGGCTCCATCTTCCAAGCCCAAAAGAATGAGGGCATTTTCAAGAATGTACAATGCCTTGCCATTTTGAAGCAATGAACTTAAAGAATATAAAAAAGCCATGATTTGCTGAATTGTTTTTTAAACACCCATCAAGTCTGAAGCAAAGAGTATCAGAGGACAGAAGAGATGAGTCTAGTCTGTACACAAGCACAGTCTCCTCAGCATCTGAACAAGCAAATGCGTGGCTTATAATCAGACGTGAGGAAGTCAAGTGAGGACTCTGGCACCAAACTGCCAGGAGAACTGTCCAATCCTCTGAGCAAAAAGATACACCTCATCAGGAACAATTACATTACTATATTTAGTTGATTGGCCACAGAGCCAAGAATATATTATGAAAAGCAAAACTGGCTTCATCTATTTAGGTAACTCTAGTGCTTTTCTCACATAATGGGCACAGAAAATACACAAAAATTCCTATGGTGTATTTGGATGGAAGTAAGATGATAAAGATGACAATTAACTAGTAAGCAGCACAAAGAATTGTGCAAAAGATTAGCTAGGAAAAAATCATGAGACATGTGGTCAAGCTTCAAAACCATTTCTGTCTGGGTTCAAGTTCTCACGATCTCAACCGGACTTCTAAAAGAGCCCACCAACTGACCCTTGTCTCCTATCATGACTCCTTCCAGTTCATCTTTCACACTACTGATAGTGAGGTCTAGAAAAACACCATACTGGATCTGCTACTTTCTCCTTTAAACATCTCATGGCTCCTCTGCTTCCAGGTAATTCCAAGCTGTTCTGTTCAGCATAGCACAAATAAACAGGGAGCCCTGCCATCAGCCCCCGCCCCTCAGAGTACAGCTGCAGATGGCTCATTTACACCTGAGAAAGGCCACTACCTTTCCACTGGGGTGGAGAGCAAACCTGCTAGCCAGCCCGGGCAAAGCACTGCCCTGGCCACTGGGGTCCTCCTCCATGTCCTACAGGTAGTGTGTGCAGGTGAAGCTTCTACTTTGCAAAAACAGAAGTCTGACCAAAACCGAACTAACATGGAGGAGTTGTCAGAGCCAAGAAGAGAGAGAAACAGTTCAAACCACACATAAGGCCTTGCCCTCGGTCCCTAGAACTTTGTCCTCTGTGATCAAGGTCCTTTACTGCTTAAGTCAGTTTGAGCTGGGATTTCTGCTACCTGCAAACAAAAGCATGTGCCCCAGTCCCTGACCACCCTGCCTGACTCCCCAGGGTCAGCATCACTGCTCTCTGGCTATGCCTAGTTTCTGCAGCCCCAGCACCCATGCAGTCTCAGAGTTCCTTGCCACCTTACTTCTAACTGTCCCTCTGGTTCATTCCTATCAAATCTTTAGTAATCTCCTCCAAAGGCAGTTACCCTGACCCATCCTTACTCAGGGGAATCACTAACTTTTGCTCTTTAATGAATGATATATCTTGTATATTCCTTGATTATATTTCTTGTCACATTCTATTGTAATTATCTGATTGCATGTGTGTCTGGTAAGACTTGATTTAATTGAGCACAGTGCCTGGCACACAGGGCTCTGTGACAGCACCTTATCACACTGCACTGCAGGCAGGACTCTGAGATGCAAATTCACTTGCTATCTATGTAGAAGTTAGTTACAAAAGAAAACTGATATACCTTATGCTATGCCCTTCCAAAACCCCTAAATTAAAAGGTATAGTAGACAGCAGACAAATCATAGAACTGATATCCAGACTGTATCACAATCATTTTAATTGAAGAATTTGCCACATTTAAAAGTTCAAAATGCTCTCATACTAGAAAAAAAGCAAGTAAGTCAACATTTATATTAGTTATACTTATGACAAAAACTTCACTGTTTAGTGTCTTGTTATGCTTCACTATGGTGTCTTTAAAAGATAAGGTCAATCGTTGCAAGTTTATCTTTCTTAGTAAGCCACAGAAGCGATATCAAGTCCTGCATATAAATCAGTGATTCAAGGCACAGGTGACTAGTGAGAGAAAGAGCAAGACTTCTCCCTCTGGAGCAGCAGAGTCCCTTCCAGCCCTGCACCTCACCATGCTCTCCTCAGAGCAGCAAGGGCCCTTACCACATAATCGCCAGACATCTCTTCCTCCAACTTGTGTTTCTGCTGCTTCATTGGATGACAAAGGAGACCAAAAGGGCCAAGGCAATAAGGAAAATTCTAACACCTGGCTGACAATTCTCAAAGCAGCTGTCTCTCCACCACTAGGCAGTCAAAGGTCTTGCAGCTCTGTGCCCCCAGGAAAAAAAAAAAAGCAAATAAAACCAAGTTGCTGAAACTCTACTCTGCACAAATTTCTGACGCCAAGGAAATGATTCAAAGAAGAGCAACGAGAGGCAAGCAGAAGGCCAGTCAAATCACATCACATTAAGTGATAATGTTCCCCAGGAAAACAACACAGGGATCAGGAAAAACAAGACAATATTAGCAAGCAAACTATACATCGGAGACATTCAGCAGGGAGGGGAAGAGAGTGGGATCAAAACAGGAGGAAGAGCACAGGACTTTATCAGTATGGCTCACAGGTGTGGAATTTTATGGGGACATTTGAGAGGAGAAATCAGCACGTACAAAAATGAACAATGACATAAAAATATATAAATAAAAATAAAAAAAATTATGTTCCTGATATTATAGATCCTGACAATAATGACTAGTAGTAAGAGATGACCTAGTTATTTTAATAAAATGCTCTAAAATAGTTGAAATAAAAAGAAAACTATAAAAAATTCAAAGTACAGAAATACTACTTACATACCCACTAAATGAGCTGAATTTAATATTTGCTTTTGATTATTATAGTTGTGTATTTCAAAGTACACAATTGCCTTCAGCAGTGTATTCTCCAGGTAGCCAAGTCTTCAAAAAGCTGAACTGTTTAAAGCACAAGATCAAAACACTGGGATGACTATTAACCCACCTGCGGCAGCCTTATCCTAATCACATGCTGTGTTTAGGTCCAGATTAAAGAGTCTGGGAGGCTCCTTTGGACTTATCCACTGGTATAGCCCCACAGAATGTAGTGGTTAGCACCTAGTAGGTGCTCCATAAATGTGGGATGGATGAATGAATGAATTTAGGGATAAAGAGATAGATTGGTCTTTCAGACCCAAGTTCCTCATAGTGACTATTAACAAGATATGCCCCTGGGCAAACCATCACCTCTGGGTCTTATTTCTATATCTGCAATACAAGGGTTCAACTTTCTCACTGACAGGTATGTATGTATGTATGTATGTGTGTCCAGCTCTAAAATACTGCATTTAAGGGAATAAAGCAAGTGACTAAACAATCAAAAAATAAAACAAAAACCTCCCTCATAGGCAGATATGATAAAACTATAACAAAAGGCCAGAGCCCAGTGACTCAAAGTTTGGGGTCTTGGCTACTCAGGGGCAAAGGGATGGGAAAGTGCTGGTGTTCTAGATACCCCAGTTATGTGTTAACATCACCTGAGCACATCCATTTTCATTTTAGGAGAAGCATGATACTTAGTGTATAGCTAAGGTTGAAAGACACTTAGTAAAAACCCAAAAAACAGTGCAAACAATCCAGATGTTCCAATTATAGATAGGTACCCAAGTGAGTCTACGTGAAATGAAATGACAATGATTTTTGAAACTGTTGGACCTTAAAATTAAAGAAAAGAATTAGAAGGGAACAACATGAAAGGTCCAGATTGACTTCATAGTGCTGATCTGAAAACATTTATGAACTGCCAGTGTGGGAAATATAGGAAAGTTGCTTTAGGAAGGCATTCCTTGCCTACAAGATCTATCTGCCTAGAGTAAATAATTTTTTCTCCCTCTTGAACCATTTAGATTATTTAATGTGCTTTGTTGTTGAATACTAGGTTTTCCAGCAATTATAAAGCCAGCCTGTGCTTTTACACAGTTTTAAGGAAATGCTACTAAAGGTCAAAATTAATCATGCAAAACTCATGAAACTCAGAAGGAGGGCTCACTTACCAGCTGGAACTCACTCCTCCGGCTGAATGCTTCCTTGATCCCCGAGTCCCTCCAGAGTGCACTCAGGGCAGGCACGTAAAGCTGGAAGGTGGCAGGCTCAACAGGCAGTCCTGCTTTGTTCTCAAAGGCCATTAAGAACATCCCGTGCTTTTCATTTTCAGAATACTGCCAAGGAATACCAAGCTTGTCTCGTGCATCAACAAGAACCCTTGAACCCTAGGAAATAAAAGATATAAGAAAGGATTTAGCTGTGTGCCAAAGACTAGACTTTCATAAAGCAGGAAACAACCAAGCTATCAAATCTGCAACCAGAATTTGTCTCTGGGTTTGCTCTGTCATGGCACCAATAGGAATATGACTTAGTGGGATGGATGTATACACATACCACACAACAGGTTTGCCTTTGCTAGTATTCATTTAGAAAGACCTAGAAGGATGATAACTGAATGGGGGAAGAAGTAGTAACAAAATTAGGCAAAGTGGACACTGGAAACTGGACCACATCAGTAAAGGAGACTGTAGAAAGCAACAGCAGAGACCCATTATTACTGAGACCTGGCAGCTCTTCAACACCAGGAAGATACAACTGCTTGTTCCAACTAACAGTGGGTGGGAGAACATACAAATGCAGGCAGCAGCAGTCACAAGACAGGAAAAGACTTAAAATGTGACAGAAGTCTAGTGGTCCGCCCACCAAAACAAGAGCCAGGGGATCATGTTCCAGATTTAATGCCACAATTGTTTGTTATGATGAGAAACTATTTTTCATTCTTTTGCTTATTTCCTCACTGTTATAAATAAAGTGTTTTCTGCCCTTTTCTTACCTCACAGATAGGCTCAAGGGGAGGGAGAAATAGCCTAAGCTAAATTAAAATAGTCTTAGGGAAAGGCATCCAGACTGTGGAAACACTGACTTGATGATAATCACCTTGTTGTGCAGCCAATAGGTCTCTTTAATTATTGTTAGCGTAGTGCTCAGAATGAGCAACACACATCTAAGGAAGCTTTTGAGTTCTTCTGCATGATCAATACTGATGATGCAAAGAACAGGGGCCCTTTCTGGAAATGCTTCATTGTCCACTCTGGTCTCGTGGGATCTGGTAGGACAGGGACAGTACTATGTCATCTGTCCCCAGTAGAGGGAACACCAGGACAATACTACTTCTTGGCAATTCATTTTTCTTTAAAATGGCAGCCTTATTGGACTACAATTCAGATACCACACAATCCCATCATTTAAAGCATACAAGTTAACAGTTAGCAGTGATCCTAGAAAGTTTCATTTCCAGTGTCTGGGATGGAGTGTATAGGTCAGTTCTGCCCTTCTCATATCTCTACTGTAGTCTTAACAGCTTTCTGCTTATAATTTCTGTTCCTGCCTGCAACCAATGAGCAGAATGTCAATGGCCGCCAAAACAAATAGCTACAATCTGTTCTCCAGAATTTGCTGGCCAAAAACTTCTGGTTAGGGGTGCTCCTATGAGTTCTCTCCACACTTGTCAGCCACAGGCGACGATGCCCAGGTCTAGCCATCCACGAACATGTGTTCATGCTGACTCAGGCCGAGTACCAAGCTAGACCTGTGGGAAAACAGCACCTAATGAACAGTGTCTGATCACCACAAACTGAGAAAAAAATCAAAATGGATTTTATTGAAGTTAAAACTTCTATTTCGCAAAGACTCTTAAAAGGCTGAAAAGACAAACCATGGGCCAGGAGAAAATATTTGCCAACCAGATAGGACTCACATATAAAATATACAAGGAGCACTCAAAACTCAACAATTTTTAAAAAATGGGGAAAGAAATATGAAAAAAGTGGTATTTCACCAAATAGCACATATAAAGAGCAAGATCAGAAGCCAGGGGTTATCAGATAAGGATCTTGGTGGGAGGGAATCACTACAGTTCTTCTGTATCAGCTTAAAAAACAAAACAAAACAAACAGTGACACCAAATAGGGTGAGGATGCAGAGATATTTGATCTCATCCATTGTCGATGAGGAGGTACAATGGTATAGACTCTCTGGAATATAGTTTTCCAGTTTCTTTTAAAAGTTAGCATGCACATTGATAAAGGGCTGATTACAAAAATATATGGAGAACTGACGAAACTCAACAAAAATAAAGTAAACAACTTCATCAAAAAATGGGCAGAAGAGCTAAAAAGACACTTCTCCAAAGAGGAAATGCAGATGGCCAACAAGCATATGAAAAAATGTTCAACATCACTCGTAATAAGGGAGATGCAAATTAAAACCATAATGAGATACCACCTCACCCCAGTGAGAATGGCACATCTTCAAACAACTAGTAACAACAAATGTTTGCGAGGATGGGGAGAATAAGGAACTCTCCTGCACTGCTGGTGGGAATGCAAACTAGTACAACCACTATGGAAAACTGTTTGGAGGTTCCTCAAACTGCTTAACATGGAGCTTCCCTAAGACCCAGCAATCCCACTCCTAGGTATCTATCCAAAAGATACAAACACTGATTGAAAAAGATACCTGCACCCCAATGTTTATTGCTGCTTTATTTACAATTGGAAATATAATTTGGCCCAAATGCCCAAAAGTAGATGACTGGATTAAAAAGATGTGGTACATATATACAATGGAATACTACTCAGCAACCAAAAAAAACAGAAACACATGTCTTTTGCAGCAAATTGGATGGAGCTGGAAAAGATCATGCTTAGTGAGATAAGCCAGAAAAAAAAAGAAAAATACCAGATGGTTCCACTCATAGCCAGAGTATAAAGGATCAGGCAAGAAAATAAGAATAATGAACAGCCATATACCAGAGACATTTTGTGGGGGTGGAGTGGGGAATGGGATCAAAAACGGGGGGGTGGCACGGGACTATGGTGATGGCACACGGGTGACTTGGTGATGGGAAGCCCATGGGGATTACAATTGAGATAAAAACAAAAAAGTGTACAAAATGATGTAAAAATACACTGTTATATATATATATATATATATATATATATATATATATATATATATATATATATAAAGTTAGCATACACTTATACACATCAACAGTTTCATTACTAGGCATTTATCCCAGAGAAATAAAAACCTATGCTCACACAATAACCTGTGTAGGAATATTCATAACAGTTTTACTTATAATAGTCCTAAACCGAAACAAACCAGATGTCCTTCAGTGGTTAAACTGGGCTGATCCATACCATGGAATATTACTCAGCAATAAAAAGGAAGAAACTATTGATAAAAGCAACACTTTGGATGGATCTCAAGGAAATTACACTCAGTGGGAAAAAAGTCAATCTCAAAAGGTCACAAAATGTGATGTCTATATAATAATCTTGAAATGATAAGATCACAGAGGTGGAAAACAAATTAGTGGATACAGGGATTGGGACTCGTGGAGGAAAGAGGGTGTATGTGGCTAGAAAGGGTAACTGGAGGGAGCTAGTTGGTGATCTTGTTAGAGCTAGTTGGTGAGCTAGTTACGGGTCTTGGTAGCAGTGTTAGTTGTACAAATCTACACAAATAATAACATGGCATAGGACTACACACACTCTGTACCACTGTCAACTTCCTGGTTTTGAAACTGCATTATAGTTGTGGAAAATGTAACCATTGGGGGAAAATGCCCATATTTCTCTGGGTATCTCTATTCCCTGTGAACCTATAATTATTTCAAAACAGGAAGTTTCTTAAAAGGTTAACTAGCAATCACGGCCATATATGTTCCAACTACATATGTGGGAAGGGGAGGTTCCTAGAAGGTTCCTAGGGGAAACCAGCAGGAAAGGCAAGGCTCCTAATCAGAGCGGGTCTCAGTCTTTTTGAAGTGTGGGTTAATTCCATTAAGTGGCGGCAGTGGATTAAAGCTTATCCAGAGGGAAAATATGACAAGGAAGTCCTCTGCTCCCATTCCTTCTTGTCCCCCCACTTCTATTTCTGCCTCTGTATATTTCCCATCTTCCCAACTTTGCTAACTGAATTATGCCAAATCCCCATCTGCTCAAGTTGATGTCAGAAAGGTTCGTGAACACAAGGAAATAAAGATGTCTCATACTTCCCTTTATGCCACCAAAAATGATCTTAGCATAGAGAGGGTCACAGTGCCTTTGTGCAACTCAGAAAAGGGTTCTCTGCCATCCCCACACCTGGCAAAAGCAGAGGGACAGGATTTCCATCTCTACCTGCTTCCTCTTAGCCCCACACGAGATGGACCCACTCATACAACTCAAATACAGCAAATTGTGTCTCAACACATATTTTTCAGTGTTCTTTTCAGACATTAAAAGATTAACTTCAGCTCTTTGGACATGGTGGCAAAGGCAAGATGATGAAGGGAAGGTCATCATTTGGATATCACAAAAAGATGCACACATTGTACCATGCTGTGGTTCAAGGCCTACTACCTTCAGAAGTCTGCCACAGGTCTGTGGCAGATGTGGTCACCCTGTCAACAGAAGAGAAGGTGCCAAGGCAAAATGAGGAAATACCACCACCACTGGTTGAATATGACACCTGAAAAACCTATCTTGCAGATTCAGGCAAGGATTCCAAGAAGGAATGACAACTAACCTGAAGAGGACAGCTGATGCAGCATCCAGTTCATTTGAAGGTCTTGTTCAAAGATTAAATATCTTAGGGTTAGAAAACAGATATATGGGGGCTTTTAACACACTTGCAGTATGTGTGAATATTACAGGCTGTGCATGGAGCAACTGCATATATCAGGTTTACTTCTTAAGTGACTGTTTTGGAGTACTATCTTTGAACTGCTGCAATACTGCTTAAAAGGCCAAGAAATAAACAGAATTCTAGAATTCCTTTGAGCAGGTAACACTGGAAGGTGATGAAAAGAATATAATAAGAATTAAAACAACACAGTACATATAGCATAGATACTTAAAATGGTAGAGTAAATGAGACAACATAACTTTTAATTACTTTTAGTAACATTGTTCTATTATAGTCTATGACTTTGGGGAATGTGTGGTTAGAACCGAGAGAACCGTTCCGTGATAGAGCATGGAGTACCAGTGAGAACATTAAGGATAGAATTATTTTAAGAAGTCCTTAACTCATCCTAGTATCCATACTTGCTTGGCGCTTAACATACAGATTGTATATGAAATATAAGATAAACAGCTACATGAAAATTTTTTTTAAAGTAATCAACTACTGGGTGTCAGTCAATAAAACATGTCAAAGGCACTGAATCCAA